AGAACCGCGCTTCCATCCCAGCGCTCAGGAAATACACTGAATACACCATCATAACGGGTTGTCTTCAACAGCCACGCTGCGTGATCTAGTTCTTGTGTGGCATCCAGTCGGATCACAACACCATACACAGTGGATATGAAAAATCTAGACTAAAATAAAATGAGGCCGGGATAAATCATGTCTGAACATTTCAATTGAAAGACAAACAAACAAACAAAACCTGGTTGCTTAAATATGCACACCCTCAATATTGTTTAAGCATCTTTTGATTTTATTACAGCACTCAGACTTTTTGAGGTAGGAGTCTTATTAGGCACAACTTGACTTGGTAATATCTGCCCACTGTTTTTTAAAAGTGCTTCAAGTGTGTCGGATAGTCTCTGAGCACGGGACTTCTCCTGTGCACGGCCTTCTCACAGATTTTCAGCTGGGATCAAGGTCCTTCCAAAACGTGAATCTTCTTCGGTTGAAGCCACTGTTTTGTAAGATTTGGTTGTGTTGTTGTGAAGCCTGAAGGTTTTGTGCTAAAATAGACTAGGTTTTGGAACTGTTCATAATTCCCTCCCCCATGACTAAGGATGAAGAAAAAAGCCCCCCCATGCTTCGCTGTGGGTTCTCATAACCCATGGCAAGAAAGCTAATAAGCATATTTCCCCAAATGGGTAAAAGTACAATTCGGCATATATCAAGCTGTCTCTGTGCACATATGGAATTGAGGATGTGAGAAGAATTACAGCTAAACACTGGTTCCGTGTATTCGCTAATCCAAATCAACATATTTCCTCTAAAAGCTTCAATGGGGGAAGTTCAGCAGAGCTATTGAACTGTAAACAACCCTCGCGTCATTTAGTTTGTTGTGTTTCTCCTTTTCCTGCCGGTATTACATCAGCAGATTTCCAGCAATCAGGGCTTTGGAAATACCGCTGCGTTTCAACCGTGTGCTGTTGTTCAACAATCATACAGGGAGAACTGGACTGTAGAAGACTTGCATGTTCAGGAGATTGTCATAGGGACTCTTTGGGGGGGAAAAAGAAAAAAAACAGCAGAAATGTGACTGGTTAATCCCGTCTTCACCGTATGACACTGTCTCTGTGTCTGTGCAGCCGTGGTGGATCTGAACGGTCGGTATTTCGGCGGGCGAGTCGTCAAGGCCTGCTTCTACAATCAAGACAAGTTTCGGATTCTGGACCTCGGGGAGCAGTTCTGACGTCTCCCCAGGCCCACACCGTCTCCTCGCTTGTACATAAACCCTTTTTTAAATTTCCTGAGTAACAGTGAATTGTCTGTATGTGATGTTCATCTTATTGTTTTCTGTTCATTTTTGTCCTGATATGTGAAAAACCTTTTATGTCGAGACAAAATAAAGAAGAAGAAAATGTCTACTGAAAATGTCATGTCTACTTATTCTGCGTAAATTTATGTTGTTGTAAAGTTTAACGCCGTGTTTAGCGAGTCAGTGTAGAATTTAGAAAGCAGCCGAGTCACGGTGACTAAATAACTCATCCTTGTATAAACACACTAGCAAACCCAGGAATGTTGCTCAAAACTTCATCCTGTCATGGAGCCTAGTTTCCTTTTTAGAATTCTGTCTGACATAACGCCGGTTCCTCAGTAGTGTTGGGATCCCGAGGGGCCGACAGTCTTAACTTAGCCCTGATGGATTATGGGGACTGGGATGGTGAATACAGCCCCAGCCTCATTCAGAATTATGTAAGCGCACCAAAAAGAGCCCCAGAGGTGCTGGTGAAATATATCAGGAAGCATCCCACCGGAGCAGGTTTAATTCAGATCAGAGAAACGGGCTGGACCGGAAACCAGAGAGGAGTTGAGAGGCCGTTTGGAAGATGTCCTTCCCTCATTCAGGTGTCAAAGGTCAAGGGAGTACAGATGAAGTGGCGGAATCTGACAGGAAAGGGTTATCAATTTGTTCCTCACATACCAAAATGAATAGTTCTCGCATTTACTCAGAATGGATCTTCTCTTTCTCCTGCTGGTTCTAAATAAATGACTGAAACTACATTCCTTTACTTTGGAAAGCTGGACATTCCAAAATAAAATCAGCTTGGTTACAATCTGTAGAGCTAAAATCCCTTTATGTGATTTTGAATTAAGTCCAACCTTCGGGGGTCAGACGCAGGTTTGCATTAGAAGTGTGTGTGTGTGTGTGTGTGTGTGTGTGTGTGTATGTGTGTGTATGCGCGCACATATAACCGGCGTGAAAGCGATGCTCGGTGGAGTGATGTCACTGGTTGTCAGCGGCATATTTAACCGTGACCTACATACCAGCCGATGTGACTTGAGACCTGGTCATGATGTGTCGGGCTCATTGTGTGGTTTTAAAATGTTGCGTGTTGATCAACGATCTATATTCACTGGGGGCCGCCTTCTGATTATGTCCTTCACCTTATTCTGCCGTTGCTGATGTTTCTCTCCAGACCAATTTAATGCATTTAGAACTTGCTAAACGACTGGAGGATAGAAGTGTCAGTTCCTTCACTTAAATAAAACTGCCAAAGCAACCAGATAGGAGAGAAGAAAGAAAAAAGTTATTTTTTATTTATTTTGAGGGGTCTTTTATCTAATTGTTGCTCTCAACAATAATGATTAATTATGCTTTAATCTTTTTGGTTCTTTAACAGGTATTTTAAACGAGGCTGGAACAGCTGATAAATACTGGTAAAGGTTAAACAGTTTTATATTTGATGAGTATATCATATATATTTTACGTGACTATAAGGGCCAAATAAACATGGCAGAGAAAAAGAAAGTACTCTAAAGTAAAGTTATGGAGGATACTATGGACATATTTAAGCAAATTAAAAGTGCCTCAAAGCTGTACTTAGTTTCTTTGGCCTACTGGATACATACTGTATATTATGTGACCCTTCGGCTTCACCTGTCCTGCCCTCCTGCTGAAATGTGGTGAAGGCAAGAAGATAGAAACTGTGCAGGTCTTTGTCTTTTAGACGTCACCACAGACTTGTTCTTAAGGTCATTTGTTTCCGGTGTTACTCTGTTGTGGCGTTAAGGGTGGGGATACGTACACTGTTTGATGAACGGGATGAACAAAACAAAACACTGGAGGAGATTTGTTATTTTGATCTGTGGATCCCAGACACTGCTGGCTGATGATTCACAGTGAGGCCATTAGAGAGCCGAGGATTAAATGAACTTCTTTCAAAGAACAACTCATGCTATGAGTCTCCTGAATCTCCACACGTCAGTGGGATTAAAAGTGGGAAGTGGACATTCTATTGTAAACGCTTCCAAACAAAGGGAACATTTCTGTTGAGATAGATGTGATTCAAAGTACATTTGATCACAGACTAAAAACTTAAATTAAGAGCTTTTATCACAAATAATATTGTTATTACCTTGTACTCATTCAGGCCCCATCGGGATTAACAGCTACTTTTAGGAGCAGTTTAGCCCTCCAAAATACTATCTCAAACATGGTCACACTCCGCATTTGCCAAGTATGTGAGAGGTTTTATGTGTATAAAAAAAGATAAGATAGAAGGCTTATTATCCTCCACCGCACTTTCTTTCTCAAGATTACATTTTAGAATAGTTTCACTATTGAGACAATGAACACAAACCAAACAAAGTTTCACAATGACAGTCCTTGTTCAGACTGACTCAAATGAACCCGTAAGGTGGAAACATCACAACGTCATCCGAAGTAATAGTTAATGTTCTTTGAATGCTTCTGTGTCTATTGTCAGACAGATGACCTTTGTTCAGGTGATCAACACGGGAGACTCTGTCACTGTTGAATAAATCCAGCTAAATAGACAGGATATCAGCTGGAATGCAATAAAGCATTAGGATTTGGGGGAAAGGTTGGAGAGAGTTCAGGGTACGGCCACAAACTGATGCAACAACGGAATTTCATTACGCTGTAAAAGGTATTCTCAATAGCATTGCTTTGTTAACTGCGTAAAAATATGGGGTATGGAATACTACATTACTGATTCAGACAGACAGGTGTATAATCACTTGTAGTTTGATGAGTTAAATCGTCATCCTCTACTGTATGCAAGTTCTGAGGCGCTTCACAGAACGATAATATAAAGAAAAAGATTAAATGAGGTCATGATGAAGTAAGCTTTGACCCTCGTGGATGCACTTTGATTAATAACTCAATTATAAAAAACGTAATCATTATAGTATGACTACACGAATGTCAGTAAGTTTGATCTTTGATCTTTTATATTGAATTTGAAAATTATTTTAATGTGATAGTGGGATAAGATGGTTTGTGTGTGTGTGTGTGTGTGTGTGTGTGTGTGTATGTGTGTGTTGGGTGTGTCTTCATTTGCAACCAGGTGGCATAAACCAGTAGAGGTTCAGTGAGATGTTATATTTAGCCTCAAATACATTTGATTTAAGTTAGTTTAAGTATGATTTATTGAGGTCTACTCGTTAGTCTTTTATTTCTATATTTTTGTTGTAAATCCACACACACACACACACGCATACATTGACAAATGTTGCATGATTATATATATATAATCATGCAACATTTGTCAATTGTCATTCCCATTATGACTCAGGGGCAACCCAGTGTGAGGAAGGAGGCAGCGTGAGATGACGTCACTTGGACTGAAGACGTGGTGAACGTGATGTAAAGAACAACCGCTAAACGGGTGAGAACTTTATCGCGAAATTTCCAATTTAGAATAAAATTAAATGCATCCATTGATTACGTATTGTCACCTCTGTAACCGTATTTTAAAGATACAGCTAAAAGCTTAAAAAAAATACATGAAATCACCATGTTTTATAACAAGAATGAACTTGATAATGAAATACTGATGATAAAGGCCGAATAAAAGGTACTTTGGCTACTATTGTCAGTTTAAAAAGCACGCTTCCCGAGATTACATGAAATATCATCACCTTATGAAATCTGTGCACACGGGGACGCGCCGTGGTTTGCCTGTGTGTGAGCGCGCGCATGGCCGGTGCGCACGCACGTCTCGGCACGTTTCGTCACTGCGGTCACGTTACTCGGCCGCGCCGGGCGGAGTTAAATAGCGGATGTGTGCCGCACACCGGCATTTTACACCGGCTCCATGCGCACCGGACACATTGAGAAGAGTTCAGCAAATTACACGCAAACGGACAAGTCTCTGGCTCCAACAACCGCCATCTCCTCCTCCTCCTCACTCCTTTCTCCCCCCACCGGGATCCGAGCGACTCGGCTCCTCCGTGCTGACGGGATGCCCAGAGAACTGACCCAGAACCGGACCCAGAAGATCTGGGTGCCCGCCAAGGATGACAAGCCGGCCCCCCGCAGAGGTAAAAAAAAAAAAATCCCAGAAGGTTTGTTGTCTTCTTTCGTGTTTCTTCTCTTCTCTTGATCGGATGTCTGAGTTGTGTTTCTACGTGACAACGTGCGCGTGCGTCCGCGGAGAAGCTCGTAGCTTTACGAGGCTGCTAGAAGGAAATGTCTTCCATATCGTCACTCCAAATTTACTTGTGTTATCTCCACCGAGGTGCACCTGAGTCACACCGGTCCTATAACGTCAGCCCTCCCCGCGCCCGAGCAGCACACATTAATCCCCCTCCATAACGTGTGGAGTTGATTTAGATGCACAAAGAGGGCGTGCAGGACAGGTGAGTTGGAGATGGATGAGGTGTGCGCGTGCGCGTTTGTGCTGATTAACTTGATATCCTAGGATCGACTTTGAGTGTGACCCGTTTAAAAAAAAAAAGAAAAAATACAATTTTTGTTTTTGTCACAAAAAGCGAGTTGTCACAAACCCTTTTCTGACGCTGAGGACATGAGAAGTATTCACTGCTTCAGTCGGCCAACTTAAATCCCATTTTCCATTCCTCCGCGGTATCGACGCCCAGCATTCCTCCGCCCCGCTTTGTGAGTCCAAGTCGATGTGAAGCGACCTGCAGCCGCATGTCGTTTTGATTAATATCCTCCAGGGGAAAATGTTACGGTACATCAGGGTCAAGTGAAAACAACCTGTGGGTCGTGCGAGCCCCCGTTCTGAAAAGTGGGTGCAGTGGGTGCAGTGGGTGCAGTGGGTGTGGAGGTACAAGGCCACGTGCCTGCTGGGAGGGTAATGGAGATCATGGGTGCAGAGGGTGTTGCACTGAACTCTGCCAGGTTCTCGGCTCCTGGTGGGCAGCTGCTATTTGGGCCGTCTCCCCGTGGTAGTCTGGTTGTGGGCTGCTCTCGGGTTACTGGGCACAAGCTGTACATTCAGGAAGTTAATTCTGGACAGGATTTCCTCTGCTTGGTCGTCGACCTGCTTACAAAGCTGTTGTCTCTGTTTCACGCCTTCCCGTCCTTCTTCGCAGCGGCTGGCGCCCCACACTTCGCCAACCCCCCCACCGTCATCGTCATGGTTGGTCTTCCGGCTCGAGGCAAGACGTACATCTCCAAGAAACTCACCCGCTACCTCAACTGGATCGGCATGCCCACCAAAGGTACCGCAACGACCCGTTCGTTCGTTCAGTAGCTCATCGGTGCCGCTCGGCTCCTCCGGGTGTTTCACCCGGCTGCGTCGAGTGATGTTTCTTCCTCCAGGATATTGCGTTCATAGTTTTTTTTTTTTTTTTTTTTTTTTTTTTTGCTCCTTCTCCTGTGTGTGTTGTAGTCTTTAACGTCGGGGAGTACCGGAGGGAGGCGGTCAAGAACTACAGCTCTTATGACTTTTTCAAGCCGGATAACGAGTGCGCCTTTAAGATCAGGCAGTGAGTTCAACACCTGTGCGTAATAAAAAGAATAAGCTACGGTTTACTCTTTATTGACATTCTCTCTCTCTCTCTCTAGGCAATGTGCCTTAGCAGCCTTGAGGGATGTAAAGTCCTATTTAAAAGACGAGGGAGGCCAAGTAGCGGTGAGTTTCCCATTATGCATCTTGTTTTGTCCAAAGGAAAACCCAAATGTCTGACAACGCTGTTGTGTCCGTTTCTTCAGGTCTTCGATGCCACGAACACAACAAGAGAAAGGCGAGACATGATCCTCCAGTTTGGCAGCGAGAATGACTTCAAGGTAAGTGTTGCTATGGCGACCCGAGGGGTCAAGCACAATGTCCTCGACGATGCGGCGACTTTCAACAATTGGTCCTTTCTGTTCCCAGATCTTTTTTATTGAGTCTGTGTGCGACGATCCCGGCGTCATTGCATCGAACATCATGGTGAGGGAAATCACAATGGAACCTGGCGTGGCCTAAAAATGAAATGATCATAACTCTTTGGGATCAGGCGCGTTTTGTGGCCGTCTTACAATCTCCCTCCCTGCGCAGGAAGTGAAGGTGTCGTGCCCGGACTACCGTGACTGCAACACGACCGACGCCGTGCTGGATTTCCAGAGGAGAATCGATTGCTACAAAACAAGCTACCAACCTCTTGACCCCGACCAGTACGACAGGTAAACGATCAGCGTGGATCTCTGTCGGCACGTCGGCGGTATCACACGCAAACTCTAAGAGTCCCGATTGTCCTGCAGGGATCTCTCATTCATTCAGGTGATAGACGTGGGTCGGCGTTTCCTCGTCAACCAAATCCTAGATCACATCCAGAGTAAGATAGTCTACTACCTGATGAACATCCACGTCCAGCCCCGCACCATCTACCTGTGCCGGCACGGAGAGAGCACAGACAACCTGGAGGGGCGGCTGGGTGGAGACGCGGGCCTCTCGCCGCGGGGCAGGCAGGTACGTGCCGCCGCACACACTGCTGGGATATATATATATATATATATATATATATATATATATATATTTGCTTGACCGCTACGCTTCAGGTGCTGAACACTGTCCCCTCCCTGCCGTAGTTTTCATCCGCCCTCGCTGGGTTTGTGGAGGAGCAGAAGCCCAAGGACTTGAAGGTCTGGACCAGCCAGCTGTGTTGCAGCATCCAGACCGCGGAGCACCTGCGCGTCCCGTACGAACAGTGGAAGGCTCTCAACGAGATCGACGCGGTGAGCATCGGGCCATCGCACGCCGCTCCACCTCGCCACACAGCCGCGAGAGGAGGAGTCTAATCGTATACCTCTTCTTTGCTTTAGGGAATGTGTGAAGAGATGACGTACGACGAGATAAAGGAGAAATTCCCGGAGGAGTTTGCTTTGAGAGATGAAGACAAATACTACTATCGCTACCCTGCTGGGGAGGTACACGCCCAGTCCGCTGGACTCTCTAAAAATCTGGATTATTATTTTAGATATAAGAATTCAACCCTCCCTTTCAATGTATTTTAGATTACTACAATCACATGAAATCACAATAATTAACAGCCCTCTCACCTCATCTGCAGTCCTACCAGGACCTGGTCCAGCGGGTGGAGCCGGTCATCATGGACCTGGAGAGGCAAGCAAACGTCCTGGTCATCTGCCACCAGGCCGTCATGCGCTGCCTGCTGGCCTACTTCCTGGATAAGAGTGCAGGTGGGTACTACACGCCCCATAAATCCCTCTGGATTTGTGCCACTAACTAAAAAACATTTACAATTCCCCAATCTGACGCACCCGTGTTCACGTCTCTGATTTTGTTCTTCTTCCTTTTTGTTCCAGAGGAGATGCCCTACCTGAAGTGTCCCCTCCACACTGTGCTGAAGCTCACCCCGGTCGCCTACGGGTGCAAGGTGGAGTCCATCTCTCTCAATGTGGAGGCGGTGAACACCCACAGAGACCGGCCGGAGGTAACGCTTCATTCAACGGATCACTGGACACGTTCTTCTCGTCCACGCAGAACCAAAGTCAATGTCACATCCTGTGTAACTATTGTGGTTCCGGTGAATCAAAAGCGAGTTACACGCAGCCCCACCAAATGCTTTATTCTCAAGTCTAAATCATCTTGATAATTTCTGACTCTGCAGGAGATGAGGAGGGCTCCGGGCAGCTTGCTCAGGCGGAACAGTGTGACCCCTCTGACCAGCCCCGAGTCGAACATCAAGAAACCTCGCATCGACGACCTCGACGAGGCTCCCATCCAGGAGCTACCGCCATCCGTGGCCTCGCTGGCACTCTGCAGCCCCTCCCACCTCCCTCTGGCCCTGGCTGGACAGGTAGCGTTCTTATAAAACATGTGCACAACACACCTTCATTTAATTTCCCAGTATTACATGTTCAGAGTTACTATGAATAAAGAGACAAGCCAGGATCTAATGATTTAGACGCAAGTCAACAGCAGCTGCCCGATGATGCCTGGCAAGATGTTTGTTTCTACCCGTTTCCTTCATCTGTCTTGCTCTCTGTGCCGGCTGCATGTATGTTCACCCTCTGGTTTCCTGTCCTCTTCTGCTCTTCTCCTCGTCCCTTTCCAGCGCTGGCTGGGCCAAGTCTGCCTGTAAGTATTCACTCCGCTCTCGTGTGTCTGGCTTCCTCGCTGTTTTCCTGTCGCTTTATGCTTCATCTTTCTTTACATACTTCTCACTGCCGACTATTATTTTCTCCAACTTGAGGAATGAACAGGCAGGTTTCTTTTGTCCAAAAAAAATCTGTAAATATGTATAGTAATTTATTTTATTAATCATATTTATTATGATGCTCCTATTTCAAATGCTCTGACAGAAGAGCCGTAGCGTTCCATGCTTATGTAACTGGAACATTTATTTCGTGAGTAGCCGTGAGGGAAATGAGAAAGCGTTGGCGCTGTGTTTGTCAATGAGCAACCCTCACTTCCCCGCTTGCATTCCTGGGATTCCTTCAGCCTTCGTCATTCTTGTAGTCGTCACTACAACTGGCTTGTTGTACTACGCTGACTCATGCCGACCAATGCTGAGAACTCTGGTTGTTTTCTTTTTGTTTCTGGGTTTATTTTTGGCCTCTTCATGGCTCGCTTAAAGACGAACCACCCACCTCCAATATCTGAAGGTAGTTTCCCTCTTAGTCTTTCAGAGGTAAATGCGTTGTGGAGGCTTCTCAGTTGCTCCGTTCTACCAGAAGATGAACTAATAACCAACCAGACTAAATCAAATGACTGTGGCACAATTACGCTTATGCTCCTAAGCAAGCAGAGGTTTTGAATCACTGAACTAAACAAATTAATCAAAAGTATCAAATACATGATAAATGCGCATTGTTTAGTGAGGGTGGGGGGGGGGGCAAAATATTAGCCTAAAAAAAATAGGCATCATGCCTTCTCCTTTAACGCAGAGACACAATCAATGTGCCACGAGCTGAATTAAAAGGATCTGATATATTATCTCTTTCCACTCAGTGTTTTGCCTTTTTTAATGGCCAATTTTAGTTGCAGCTGTCTTATGCTACATATCTTGCAAAATGTACTTTTTTTTTTTTGTTTTACCAAATAGTTTTTATGTCTGCAGAGAACATGCAGTGTGCGCTGATTAGCTCGCACAAGATGTCTGCTGGCACAGACAAAGCTTTTGGGTGTGAGACTCTTTTCAGCTTTCGTCCTAATCTCCTAGGGATTAACCGTGTGGGTGGGTGTGTGCGCACGTATACTGTAACCTGGTCACTTACACATGAACTTGCATGGTTGCGTGGTTTTCACACCCTCTGAAAATATCTGAGGAATCAGAACTATAGAAAAGTTTCTAAAGACGTGTAAAGCCATAACAGCATTTTTCTTTTTTGTGGTCTTACAGAACCTGAGGAGGAACTCCTCCGGCCTCCGGGACGTCCTGCAGCCCTGCCTATAAACTTCACTGATGAGCAGACTGCTGACAAAGGCTCTCTGAACACGAAGCAACCAGGAAGAGTTAAATCATATATTTTTTTCTTTTTTGGTATAATTTCTCATTTAATCACGCAAGTAACCTCAGTCTTTATTATTCATGAAGGATCATGATATTTTTTCGCTGCCCAGTCAGATATTTCTGTTCAAAGATGTTTCATTACGAATCAAGACTATTTATTACTTTCTTTTTTTTTGCCATTTTCAATTTATTGTATTTGTTTGATGGGAAAACCTTTAACGTCCCGTTTTTTTTATAAGACTGAAAGAGGAGAACTGTGACTCGTTCAAATCGACGGTTATTACTGGTAGGTCACCACATCTCTGATGGCTCTCTGTGAACTAGTCTCACTGGTTTATTAATTTGGAGAGACCAACTGTCACGGCAAGGTTAAATATTTCAAACCATTCTTAACTTATGATGGCACTGTTAATACAAATGTAAAGGATTCTATTTTAGTTTACATTGTAAAGTTTTTAAGACGCCCTGCTGTTTTTAATGCACAATTATTATTTTTTTTAAAAACCTGTGCAATGGAAGAGCGTTATGATTTAATCTGTTATTTGACACTATACAAATGTGATTATTTTGCACAACGAGTATACATTTGTATTTTATTTTGTCATGTCTCGGAGATGGAAGTGATTTTTGCCGTAGAGTGCCTGTAGTGCTTGTTTTGCAAGCCTGACGCCGCTTCTCTGGAATCGATTGCTCGGGAAGGGCCAACACGTGTCACTAATAACTACACATAATATATATGTATGTGTAGTCTAATAACTACACATATCACTTACATTTTTTTTTATTTTTCAGTGTGTAAGTTTTGACACTACAGTGCATCCCGATCATTTGAAAGTTCTTTTCTTTTGAAGTCTTCTACGCTGCAATGCTCCGCACAGATGTAAGCATATATTTTTGTTATATTAATGCGTGCCGTTGATAATATCTTTAAGTGTGTGTGTGTGTGTGTGTGTGTGTGTGTGTGTGTGTGTGCATACAATATAACTGCATAGGAGATAAATTCCCTTGTAGAAGTATTTTTGTACTTATGAAAGGCCCGATCTTTAGAGATCGAAGTTGCTAATCTCTCTCTCTGTAAAACTTTTAACATTTCTGCTCAAGATATTTGAAAATTAGTTTTTTGTAAAAACTGTTATCATATTTATTTATATGTAATTTTGGATGCTTTGAGTGAAAGGAACCTTGTTTTGATCTCCAAGGACTATGCATGAGTGGACGGTATGTTAATTTTTGCATCTGCTGGACCAATAAATGAACTCCTGGAACATTTACAGTGTTTTGGTTTGCTTATCTTCATCGGGCCCAGCATTCACATTAAGCCTACTTTTACCCAGTTTCCTTTTAGGGAGTTAGATCTGCTGTGTGCCCAGCATTTTCTGGCACTCCTGCCTTCATTATCTAACCCATTCACAAGATTCATGAGTCACAGGCCGTGAGAAGCACGGCCCCTATCAGGCAAATCCTGAGTGGCTGCGATTCAGGATGTCTCTGAAAACATGCGCTCTCCTTCTTAAAGGATTGAGCACAACATGAGGTTTTTGTTATTGCACTTGTGGTGGTAATAAATTCAAGTTCTGTGGTTGATTTAAAAAAATAAATAAAAATAAACCTTTGACCGGCAGTGCTTGGTGACCAAAAATAATTTAATTTAAAAATAGAATTGTCTTCGTTGTGTTTTTCTAGATCTCTAAATTGAAACCTATGCACAAAACTTGGACTGCCAACATGCTACACAATCACTTCGTAACATGCTATGTTTCAAAACATTTTTACAAAGTAACAGAGCTTTATTGTGATGTGTGTGTGTGTGTGTGTAATCATTTTTTTTATTTTTAAAAAGAGTCCTGCTCTTTGTTTGAAATCCCTTTGACTTTTTCAATAGTGTCACCACGTTTTGGGTTTAGCGGGCCGCTCATCATGGTTCATATGATCCATGCAGAAAACATCTATCGTTGTCTGTTTGTATCCCGGCGTGCTGATGAGCTGGGACGTTTTCACCACTTTACAGATGCAAACGAGCTGCTACTTTTACTGCTTCCTGCTTTGCAAATGCCTTTTCCAAAGCAACTGCGGTGAGACAACCAGGAAGCTGCGTTGGGCCGCTCCGAGCTAGGCGAGCTGCAGCTGTGTCTTTAAAGTGCGGCCAAACTAAAATGGGAACTATTGGGAATACTGTCAACGGACGTTGTACCGCAGTCAGTCGGTTAGTTAAAAATGATTCCCTTCCGGAAACCCACAAGTAGGCCTCCCGGCTGCAGAAGTGATATAATGATCACTTCAAGTCGCACTTCACTGCTGCCAAGTGTGTTTCTGGTGTAACGCAAAAAGTTACTATTTGCAAACTATCAAAATGATGATTTTTAAAAAATAAAACATTGGAAAGATATGTTGTACACCAGTGGTTCTCAACTGGTCTGGCTCCGGGACCCATCATCACCTCTTAATGACAAGCCGCGACCCAAATCGAAGAACATTCTCAACTTCTCAAATTTCTTTAATGAAAATATGGTGCAGTTTGAACCTGAGATAGTATGGAGACAGAATGCGTATGCCAACACAAAAACGCCAATGAAAAAACAAAACAGCTAGCTGTTAATTCTAATTTTTATTTTCCCAGGCAAAGGCCATTAAAAATCGCGACCCACCAGTTGAGAATCACTGTTGTACACAATGTAGAAATGTATGTAAATTGCTGCATAATGAGCTGAACATTTGCCGCTCTATGCTGTGGCGGACCGTCTCCTCTCTCCCACGCTCGCTCATTCAAACAAACGTGGACACTCATTAGTATTTGCCAGCTGAATGCAAGAATTCCTTGAGTCTGTATCACGGGTAGACAGGTTGTCATGGCTCAAACTGGTCATCTTGTGGCCAGATGGGCTACGTTACTGCTGTCAGGTACGCTAAATGCTCCGTGTGCACCTCCACACGTACACAGACAAACATAAATACACAACTCGTGTCCATGACTCATGACTTTTTCCTCTGCAGTCACAACGTCACGGAAATTCAAACCTATTTTGCATTCTCACTTTGCATATTGGACCACTTTACCTATGCAAGTGTTCTACTGTCAATATGCAGAATGTTTGCTTACGCCCCGTCATTGCCGTGTTATTTCAATATTTAGCTGCTTTTTATCTTAATAAAGAGCAAGATATAAATTGAATACTTGTTGCTCCAGCTGTGACGTGTTCAGCCGGAAGTAGACTGTGGTCTGGCGTTGGTCCTGGTGTGTGTGTGTGTGTGTGTGTAATCTCTATGGGAGGCTGCTGTGTCAGACGTATGAATAGTGCGCCAGATTGGTGTTGGCAGGGAGGGCGAAGCGAATAAGCTTCACAAACAGCTGTCTAATGCTGAACTGACCAAGGCTTGTGAACGTACCCAATCACTAAACGTACACTTAGTCGTGGACGTTGGTCCAAGTTTAGCCGAGTGTACCAAAAGCTCACTTGGGAACATCAGTTTCAGATGGCCGAGCGTCGCGCCTCGCACTCTATCTTTGTCGCTCCTTATCGTGACTCAGCAGCTCGTCATCCTCTATACCTGCTTAGCCTTATTAGGTGGTCATGTGTCACAGGCCCATTTGAGGTCAAGGTGACCTACTTGTACTCATCACATACAGAGCATGTACACATGTAGGCTCAAAGCTGTCTGGAATAGGAACCAGCTAATTGGTGAAAAATAACTAAAAGTAAGGTTGAAATAGTTAAAAGAAATGAATAAATTACCTAGTAAGTAGTAAAAACTAGTTGGATGAAATATCTGAATGTTATGAATAAATGGTTGACTACTCTAATAGCTAAAAAAGTAACAGCAAGCAAGATGGCTGAAACGTTATAAAAGTACCAGATACATTATTAACGTATTTACATGCAAGTAATGACTACATATCTAAAATGACTACAACTAATTGGATAAATGGTTGAAGAATTAGCTCAATTTCTGAAATAACTTAAGGTAATGGAAGTGTGTAACCAATCAGCCCTCGACATTGACACCAAATGTAGTAAAAACATTGCAAAAAAAGGCACACAACAAAAACAGAATTCTGTTTGGCACAGTTAATATCCAGTTTATTTCATTTCAAATGAACATGCTTGGAACACGACGTGTGTTTGGCTTTGTGGATCCATCCTACTAAAAGAGGCTGGAAACCATAAATCACTGTCAGTAAAAACATGTGAATGTCTTATTGACTGTTGGACATCAGAAACCACATGCTCATCTTTGTCAAACACGTTTCCCTGTAGAAACGCCGCAACGTCACACATTCCTCTCTTGGTCCTCTGTGGAAGTTTACTTGCTAAACAAAAGACCTGTAGCCCCTCCAGAGACCCTGCAAGTCTTTGCTTTCAAATAGGCCAAACTGGTTTGAACCAGTAGACTACTTCTTTACAAGTGGGAATCTTTCTTTACATTGTTAACAGAAGACAATGAAACTAAATAAATACAGGAGGAAAAGTCTCAAAACTGAAACCCCTCTGCCCGACTCTGTGAGCTGTGAGATGAATATGAGTATCCATACATTCAATATGTATGTATATAAAACAGTATACACATGTGCTACAGTTGACCTTTTAGTAAAACATGTGAAACTCCATTATTCCAGTGGAGGAGTGAAAACTCATCCCTCTCTCTTTGTGCAGAGACCATTGATGGAGAGATATTGTCCTGAATGGACAGGATAAGTCACTCGGTGGCCATGAATGGAGCATAGCAGATTAAATAGACCATGCGTTATTCCTGATTACACTGGCGCTTTAATAAAAGCCCTTTTACGTGATCCTCTGCACGGTTCCATTTCCACGGTGACTCACCCTGACGTTTAGGTTTGGCTCACATTGCATTTACAGTACATGGATTTCCCAGAGTCCCCTTTTTCCATGCTTTAATCATGACTTATTTAACCTAATAAGTATTAACTTATCATGTTTCAGTATTTATAGTGTGTTCAAGAAAATGCTGGTACAGTTCTCTCTCCTTGCTGTCACAAGCAGGATTTTTTTTAATCGTCAGCACTGGGAAACAGGTTAGTGCTCTGACATTTTACTTTTAATATACTCTTCAAACATGAGCCATTTTTGGATTGTGTGCAGTAGAGATCATCAGCTGACGAAGGTCCCTGGCTGGATTTCATGTTGTGGTTAAATAGAATGTACTTTATACTGCATAGAGCCCGGGACACCTCCCACACAAATACTTTTTAACTTAAAAATGCCAGTTTAAGATTAGAGGACTCGGGGGGATGGAATTTGAAATGGATTCTCTAGCAGAATATTTGCCCCGCTCCAGTCTGCTGGTTTGGGAAGGGAACATTTGCACACATACTTTGTTGAACCACAAGGCAAAAAGGTGCAGAACCTGCAGCTCATCCAAATGTAACGGAGCGAAGAACTCAGTGGCAGTGCCACATACTTTCCTGTGTGCGTGACATGATTGAAAATCATGATGATGACATCGGCAGCCGAAAAGTAGAGGAATAAAGTAAGGAAAGAAATTATGGGAAGAATAAATAAAGGTGGTGTATGTTTTGATGACAAGGTAAGAATGTGAAGGATGAAGGATGAGAGAAGGAGAGGAAAAGATGGGGAAAAAAGTGATAAGCAAAAGACGCAAATTCGTATGAAGGCCGGAATAAAGAAAATGAGGTTTCGATTGGTGTGAGCAAAACCACGTACATCTTCTCCTTCTAACCAAGCTTCATCTTTCTTCTCCTCCCCTCCTCCCCACCTCTTTGGCCCTCTGCATGAATAATCAATCAAGAGTGATGTGTGAAGACTCACGTAGTCACAGCCTGACAAAGAAAAAACCCAGGGGTGGATTCCCCCCTTGAGGGGAGAGACACCTACGTATTGGTATTTCCTCTACTCTGAAAAGAGAACATTGAGAAAGAGCTCACAAGTGAATAAGAACATGCAGCGTTGCAACATGCATTGTAGTAATGTGCCGGTGAAATTAAGGTTTTAAGGGCAGCAACAATGTCATCAAAAAGCTCTTAAATTTGGTTTTCAAAAGATTTCGGATCCTTGAAACAAATACAAGGTGATGCTCACAATTAATTTGAAGTTCCTTTTAATCCGTCCAAGTATTTTAATAATATAGTTTTCATCCATCACTTTTAGCTACCTATTTCAGCGCTTTACAATTTACTTTAGGCTCCGTTTTTACACAATTTATTCATCATCATCAACTAGCTTTTTAAGTTCCATATAACATACTTTGAGCAATGTGTTTAAAAACGTTCCATTACTTTTATTAAAATCAGAAA